GTCAACAACAACATCCAAGTTATACCCTGACACATAAATCTATGATTTATGTTGCATTGGCACTTCCCCTTATGAACAACATATTTATCGCAAAATCTTTTCATCACGTCAATAGAATTTCACAAAAAAAAAACCTCCATATACTCTATAAATCGGCTTTGAATTGGATGGAGTAAAATCAACGCGCATTTGTATTGTGTATGTCAAAGGCATTTGAAAAAGCGAATAATAAGTCGACGGCATTTTGTCCATCACGAAATAAATGGATGCGGTAATCAGATGTGAGTGGAGACTTTGGATTGGTCAGTGATTTATTGATTTGGCTCGCGCTCAACATCAATATACATAGGTATATGAAGAATAAACTCTCTCTCAAAAAAACAAAATCGAATAATAATACACAATTTTGATCTACGTCATGATCCAGGTAATTGATGATGGAGTAACAGTCTTAATTGAAATTTAATGAAAATGACTCGCACTCTCTATCACCGTATCTTCTCGTTCGATTTTCTTCTTCTTCTTTTTCTTTTTTTGTACTGCACAAAATGGCATAAATTACTCTTTCGTCCGGCATTAAATTGAGCAAACGAATAGAATAACGTTTTCGCGTGATCATTTGAATTTGTTGCATTTGGTGTGCCGAGTGTTTGTTTGTTGTGTCATTTTTGCTATATTACCATCAGTGTTCGGTAAAGATGAAGATAATAGATAAGATACCAGATAAGATACAGATAAGATGCTATCTATATCTTATCTGTACCTAGACCGAAAAAATCTCATCTTATTTAGATACTTTAAAAAATTTCAGTATCTTTGAATGGTAGATAAGATACTTTTTAAGATAATTTTTTGAGAAAACAAATTTAAAAAATTTAAAGTATCTTATCTAATATCTTATTATTTAAAGTATCTTATCTAATATCTCATCTTATCTGCAGGTAAGATGCTTTTTAAGATATTCATCACGTATACACAAGGTGAAAATGATTGTCCGAGAATGAATGTGAGACAAAAATTGGTGACGACTCAGTACTTTTTGCATGGCGGTGTTACATTTCAATAAAATCTTAGGAGAAGTCTCAAATTAATTCTCGGACAATCAAATGTACAGTATCTTATCTAATATCTTATCTTATCTTGCAGATAAGATACTTTCTAAGATATTTCTAAAAAATTCAAATAAAAAATGTTCACCCATTTTTTATCTTCATAAATATCTCAGATAATCGAAGATATTATCTCATCTTCTATGTTTTTTTTAGATAAGATCCTGTATCTTATCTAGATATTTTTTTCGACACACACAAAAATCTTATCTTATTTAGATACTCAAAAATTGGATTTTACCGAACACTGATTACCATTGAGGAGATGTAACACGCGATTCGCGATCTTTTTTCTTATTTAAAACATTCTAGAGGGTGACGGTGACGACAACGACAATCGCTTTCATAAAACGGAACTCAATATGCGTTTGCAAACCATACAATAAGAAGAAATTGAATAGAATAGAATGGCATTCTCCTGTTTGTGTCAAGAGATACAAATACGGTCGTAATTAAGGCCCGTAACGTGTGGATATTATGACCTCAAATAAACAAAAAATCAAGCGATTTTTTCTTCTTTCATACACGCGCACACACACACGAGCATTTAAACAGTGTAACGAAATGAGCGGGTCGTATCGAAGAGAAATTTGGCGATGTGACGATGTAATTGTGTATGCGAGTTGTTGGCTATTTAAACACGACGATGCGTGTTAAGACACATCGTGCTTGATTCGTATGCCTTTCCGTTCGCTCGTCACAATTAAACTTGCATTGTGCGCATTTATTGTTCGTATATATATTTAGCTAACGTGTCTTAAACTATATTTATCTATTTGGCAACCGTCAACATACAACTTAAAATGTTTTGCAAAATTCTTTTTCATATGGCATTTTATTTTGTTTGGCCAATACGGTTTTCGTTACCTCTCTCTTTTTCTCGTTCATTTTATTATCTTGAAAAATTATAATAGAAAAAGAAATTAATTGAAATGAAAGGATGCATTGCTAACGATGTGATGCGGGGGCGGCATGACAATCACTATAAAAAAAACGTAACACACATTTTACAAACAGATGGAAGAATGCAGTAAGAGAAAAATGTGAACGGATATATACCACGAGAGAAAAGAAGAAACCCATTGGTTACCATTCTAAGTGGCCCTTTCATGAAAATGCGCATGATTCATGCGTATTGTTTTCGATTGTTCGATGGAATCATTCAAACAAGCAACAAACATAGAATGTAGAACACAAGAAGCTCAAAGTCGGCTCGTTAGAATGCACTTAATCTCATTATTCTTTTTTTTCTCTTATTTTTCCACCGTTGTTTTTTTTTTGTAGTTCTGTACGAGTGTGCGTATTCACATCATAGCACACATAATTTATGAAAACAGCTGAAAATATATGAGACAAATTGGAGAAAACGGCAATCGTCCGAAACGCCAGATAAACGGAAAAAATGTTTGCCAGCCACATCATCATTCTTGTTAACATGTCACACGCCGATTACATTGCTTCTTCTCTTTTGGTGTGTGTTTTTCGCTTTTTCTCTGTCGAACACATTTCGACCGGCAGAGTAACCGTAAGCAACCGCGACGATGAGCCATAACAACGAGAATAAAAAATACAACCTCATCATGTGTTTATGATGAGCGCGCGATGATCGTGTGAACATTCAAATGATTTATTTTGAAGTTTTCCAAACTTATAGTAACAAAAATACAGAAATATGCCCAACGGACGCATATCTTGCGCACTCTCTCTCTCTCTCTCTTGCTTGTATCTTAAGAATCGATGAATGTGTGTATTTTATGTTGATTCTTATTTTCAATTCATAATTGTGCGCGCTTACAATTCGAACGGAAGAGATCGCAACATTTAAACAAAAACAAAAACCGAACGAGAAAATATATATATGTATAAAGAAATGCCCATAACAAGCGCATAGTCTCAAACCAACAAAAATTTCAAATTAACGAGCCTCTTCATCATCATTGCGTTTTAACAATTTTCAGGTGAATTACGGTATAAAGACAATGTGTGCGCTTGTGACGACGCTCAATGTGTTCACAGTTTGAGCATGAGATTGTTTTTTCTGATTGCTTTGCATGGCAAGAGCACATATACATCGAACAACATCGAACACACCGACAGCACATACAGTTCCCAAATAATTAAATGGTAGGCAGTGGATAATAGTCACAGTGGCGGGTACATTGTAAATTAATGCTTCATTCTGAGTTTTTTTATCGTTGTTCTTAGTTCAGTGTGTGTGCGCGAGCGTTTTTTTCTTCTTCTTTTCATTATTTATTTACGGTTGTTTTTTTTTTGTTTTTTTTTATTGAATTCTTTCTCATCTCCCAAATTAATTAAATCAACAAGAAATCAGCAAAAATCACATGGTTTTGGTGATTCACCGTTTCCTTTTCTCCTCTCGCCGCCCCAGTGCTCAATTAGTAAATGTGGTGAAAACTTATGATCTCAATGAACATCTAATTTCACCAAATGAATTCAAAATAACAGCAATCACACATTCCACAACACATTAACACACAAAATCGCAGATCGCATTGATCAAGATGGATAAATAAATAATGATGCGATCAGAACGATGAAAGCAAAAATATGAAACAAAACATCTTTTCGTCGACCAATTGTTTATGGAACCCGTGAAATATTTTTGATACGATTTTTTCGTCACCCATTTTTCCGCATTGATTCTATGCTAGTTTTTTGCTGCTGCTGCTGCTGCTGCTGCTGCTGCATTCTAATCGCATTGCTCGTAAATGCGATTATGATTTTTCAATGTGATTCAGATTTGAGTGGGATGGTTATCCGAAACCGGTTTGGCAATTCTTTCCACATTTTTATATAATTAACCTAAAAACACACATAAGTATAAACAGGCGCCGTACTCCATATTCTCTAAGACAAATCGGATCGTCAATATTCTGGCGATTTACATACCATGTGCACACAAATCAAAATCGGTAAAAACCAGGCAAACCAGGCGAGCAAACAAATACAAAAGCACACATCACAACGAGAGATCCCAATCTCGCCATCGTCCGGCCACAGTTGAATTTAGATTGATCTTGGCCGTGATTGTGTGCATATGATCATAACGATGGCTTAAATGTCTAAATATATTTTGCTGCGCTCATTTTAACATTTTCGCACAGTGTTTTGATAACGGGTTTGGATGCACACACAAAAAAAGCACGAATGCGAACAACCTCAGATAGAATAGAAACATGCGGCCAGAACAAATGCAGAAGACGAGAAAAAAAAAACATATTTTCCATCAACAACGACGACTACTACTACTGCTACAGCAACAACAACAACAACAACAAAATATTGATTAATGAAATTCATTTGACGAGATCCAGGTATTAAACACAAGAAGATTAAAATTGCGCCACAGGTTTTAATTTCATATTTGACACACATCCCGAAATACGTTCGAATCAGCGAAGTGAGTGAGCATGCACGGACAAGTGTGGCTGCAATCATAATCACATGGTTTCGATCAACAATATTATATTGGATACGGGATGCTGGATAGAGATTGTGTGGTGCGGCATGTGCTTTAGTTTGCCAAAGAACAATGTGAAAAATGAGCGGAACTGTGAGTCTGAATGTACATGATTATGAGACTGGATTGTATAGATATTGCAATGCAATGAGCACCATAACCAAAGAACTTGAATCAGTTGAATGCATGTTTTGCCACAATTTATGGCAAGTTCTTTTGCGCACGGCATTTCGATTTGATTCGATTTTGATGCGCATTCACACTGCATTACATATAGAATTGTGTGCATCCGTAGTGTGATTCGTTTTTCCGTTGCAATGCAAATCTCAAATACGGTACGATTGTAGAAAAAAAAAAGCGGAAAAAATTCGAACGAAAACATTAACAGCTAAATTAACCACAAAACCTACCTTTCAACTCGTGTTTTGTTGTTGGAATCAAGCGGTGTACGCATCAAACGTTTGTTCCGGAAACCTGAAAATAGCCATAAACAAAATTGGTTAGAATTATTAGAATTTCTCATTGAATGCGATTCTGCTTTTTCTCGTTTTTTTTTCTTGCAGAAACAAAAATATAGATATAAACATAGTTTTAGTACAAGGAAAAAAATGAATGAAAAGCGGCAAAATAGAGGGAAAAAAAACTAAAACGAACGAAAGAAAACAGTTCAGAGTCGACAGCTGCGATCTATATCATCGACATTTATTGATGCAATAAAACGATTTATTTAGTTGTGTTTAAATCGTTTCGTAATAAATAAAAGCGCAGATTGCCATCGAGCACACGGTTAAAGGTGACCACCGTTGCAATATGGACACCTTGAAATTATTGCGGATGCTCTTTCGACTTTTGTCTTACAATTTCAACGGGCTCAATTCTTTTTCTGTTGCACCGCTTAATTTTGCTTTCTTCTTTTCTCTATCCGCCTCTTTGTATTTCGTTTTCATTTCTAGCGCACTTCAATGACCGGTTGTGTCTTGTCATTTTCGTGCACTGTCGAAAGTACCATATATTTTTTTTTTCGCAAACGCGTTTGCTACATATTCTCAAACCAAAAGATTCCCACAGTAAATTTGCCCCGAATCACATGAAACCTAACAAATGTTATAATGCACATATAATACGTTGAAATGAAAGACGACGGAAAATTAAACACAAAGCATCCATATGAACCGTCGAAAAAAAGCATATACTTGTTAAATTTTGACCGCTTTTGGTTTGACGTGAGCTGAGCAAAATGAAGGTAAAATCTAAAATGATCCCATTTCATTGCATTATTATGAACTGCTATGATGAATAAATAAATACACATCGTTGCTACCGTACTAATTCTCTCGGCGTGTCGTTGCGATTATGCTTCAGATGGCCTAATAACGTGTTAAATGTCGGCTACTCGAATGAACAAAAAAAAACAACAACGTACAAACTGAACCAAACAAAATGCGTAATTTCGTCGTATCGAACACACTATACAAACTGGATTTTCATTATTCTCTTATTTTCTTTTGTTTTTACGACAGATTTTGTTGTTTTTTTTATTCTGCTTCCCCTTAATTTAATGTCTTTTACTCTTTTCAATCTATTCTGGACACAGAGATAATAATGGCAACGTCATCGTAATAGCCACCGAAAATAATCGCGACATTTTATTGCATACACTTTTTTTTTCTTCTGAATATTGTCTACAGAAGAAAGTTTCTTGATGAAACCAAATATTTTATTATTGTTGAACAAAAGCAAAAGGTTAGGCCCGTTTTGCACACACACATATATACATGTCACAGCGAGAAGAGAGAAAAAATGAGAAAAAGTTCATTGTTCACCAACATCAGTTTATACAACAGCAAAAAAAAGTGCCAGAAGGAATTAAACGAGATGAAAAAATAGAACTTTCAAATGAAACAGACACTACAAGCCATAAAACAAGAGGGAAAATGTATTTGCAGTAGAAATGGCAAAATCAAGTCCAAGAATGAAACTGAAAAAACATGTTTGTTTTACGCGGCACCGCACACGTGACCTGTTCTTGACGAAAAAATAAAAGCCACACACAACAGCCGAATAGGAAAAGCAAGCCAACATCTTTTTTTTGTTTCGTTTTTTTTTCTCCATTTGTTGTTCAATTCAAAATGAACTTCAAGCGCAAAATGTTTCAATTGAACCTTAACTCACTTCTGCACAATACCTACATCACATTTTCTTCACTTTTCTTCACGTTTTCATTCAGTGTGTGTGTTTTTTTTGTCATATTCGTTTTTATGCAAATATTTATAATGGGTTTTGAGAGCGAGCAAAACGAAAGCTGACAAAAGAAAATAAAAATGAAAGCATATAATAATTTTGACAGTTATTAACGCCTGTGCGTTGAAATGCATATAGACACACGTTCATTTAATTACACACCATGCAAATGTGAAACCATGATAACCGCGTACGCTTTTTTCATTGCTCATTGTTAGACGCGTTTCTTTAGAAAAGATTCGACATTCGATCAAATTCTTTTCCATTTTTTTTTTCTTTCTCAAAATAGGCAGGTCGTCGAACAATGTACTGTCACTTTTACCCTTTCACAAGGCAAAGAGAGATTTTTTTTTAATTATCGATGTTGCTGATTTTGTAAAAGAGTAGAAGTGTTTGAGCCGTTTTTTCGAAATAGAAATCTCCAAACAAGTTGAACGTATAACAATATGCAACGGTTTATTTTTTTTTTCTTAATCCAAATTTGACAATAACAACGTGTAGCGAAAATCTCGTCTCATCACGAAAGGAAGGCACAAATAACCAAAGGCATAAATAAGCCAACAAACTCATTTCGTTTAGCGTTCAATAACCAATTGCAGTTAGCTGCATATTTTGCTAAACAACGATACGATCCACATTGTAAACAGAATAGAGTAAATGAATATTGTGGAATTTGAGATGGTACGCTGAGGCTGTGGTCGCAAGTGGGCTCTCGCTCTCTTTCATTCTTTCTTTGTTGATGAGCTGAGCTTATTTTTTCGGATACAATACTATGAAAGAAGAAGTGCATAATGGTAATTTAGAACAGTGTTGTATCATATTTTATACACATCACCAAATAGTGCTACCGATTTTAACTCCTGTAAATACCTAATGGTTATTGATATTGTTCCACAAATACAGTTGCAAATGTAGCAACTACAACAAGTTTAACAAATCTACCTCAACTTGATGCAAACAATAATAACAGTTTATCAGCAGCACGCTCATTTACTCGCTCACTCCGTCACTCATTGTACGGCTAGCTCGTTTGTTCGTACACACTTTCATAACAAAAGTCGCAATATTGACAGAGAAACACACACACACACGCGCGCGCTCGCTGCACGGGCAGATGCATGGCAAAATCAGCAACCCGAAACCAATGCAATATTCGGTTATTCGACTATATGTGTAACACTCAACGATGCACTCTCTGACAAAACATAAGCAATAAGAATTATTACAGCGTTACAAATAATAAGGTCAATAAACAGTAAATAACAGAATGTGTGCTTCTTCTCGCTAGTTCAAAGCCGTCATGTGTGTGTACGCGGGCGCGCGCGCGCGCCTGTGTTTGTGTGTTTTTATGCTGTTGTTGCGGCCGTTTGTTGCAATAATTTATTGTAGCCGTTGATGTCGTTGATGCATTCTTCTAATTCAGTTTTACGTTTCACTATTACTATTCCATTCACAAGCACATTAGCTTAGATGCGAATACATGTGTTTTGTGTTTTATGTGTACCAGTTGCGCTTGTCGATGCGCTTTTGCATTGTTTGTGCTATAGTTATACATAGTATATGACAGTATCATTTTGAGAATGTTTTGTTAGATTTAAGCTGAGCTTTTACATCTGCTTAATATGTTATGGATTCGAAGACTCTCGTCTCTTCTACAAAAAGCAATAACAATCATGAAGCTGAAGTATTTTATTGTGAGCTTTGAATGTGGATTAAAATCCATGTCCGAAACTCATCCGCATAAGTTGATTTATGCGAGCGCAATCGTTGAATCCGAAATCAATAATAATGATGACGATTGGACACAACATACATATGTTAAGTGTTTTTAGATAAAATCACAACGGCGCACGACTGGACATGAATACGAAAACGACAAACGAAAAATTGAGCACTTACTATTGAGATTGTCATGTGCATGTTGATCATACATGTATACTCTTAGATAGAGGAAACCGTGCATGAATCGAATAAAACGATTATAAGTGAATTTAGTAGGTCGATCGGGCATGCTGATGAGAGAAAAAGAGAGAAAGAGAGAGCTTGCGAGCGAAGATGAAGAAAAAAGAAAGAAAATCACAGTCAGTCCTTATGTTTAGCTAGTTACAATTTTATTTTCATTTTAAAATGCGAATGCATCTATTCAATCCCGGTAAATATCTTCTTGATTCACTTGAAATAGTAAAGTAGTACGGTCCATAATATTTGATATCCAAATAATTTGCATACATTGAATGGTTATGAATGCAAGTCGAGAGAGTTAATATTGAGCGATACTCACAGACAAAAATAGTAACCAAACTAAACACATGTAGGACAAGAGCCAGAAACGACAATATGAAATGAAAATGCAAAAGAATGAAACTTCATTAGTATCACAGGATTGTTTCACGAAGTGAGTACATGAGTCATGTTGCTAATCGTATACGCACCTGAATTGTTTATTCAAAGTGAATGCATAGAGAATGCGTGCTTGTTCGATTGCTCGTGCGCATTATGAATTTACCATACCGTCGATGCATCTCAATTTTCCAACTTAAATTCAATTTTATTCAATTTCCATGCAAAATTATTACAACTTTGAAATTCGGTTTATATATAGATAATAAGAACGAATATAATTTGTTTAATGCAATTGATTTCTCTACGTTGTATCATTCACATTCGTTCGTTTGTTCCAACATGCAGCCATTGCAGCCATTGCAGTTTTCGTTTGTCACACATTTTGTGCCGACATCGTTTGTGTGTAAGTATATTTCGACATATAACGAAAGAAAAACCCGTACAAGTATGAAAGCGCGAGCGCAACATTCTTTTCGTCTAGCATACGGAAAACTCCAATCGAATTGGACTACAGCAAAGCATTTACAATGAACTCAAAATACATGATTCTTTGATTTTACCTTGTATAGAATGTCGAATTGTTTCTTCTTTTTTTGATTATTATTCAGTTTCAGCCTGTTTGCAGTGAGTGCGGAGAAAGAGAGAGAGAGAGAGAACCACAAAAGAAAATACACAGCAGTACGTGAATTGCTGCGACATTGACAATTGAACCATAAATTGATTTTCAAGTGCCATTTAACGTATAGTACAATATAATAACAATAAGCACAGCCGCCTTTCAGTAAAAAAGCGCAAGCAATTGCCAATTTGAGGGAAATTGGTGTGTACAATGGATGTAAGCCGGCACATTAGAGCTGAAAGCTTATCTTGGTTGTTCTTCTTTTTTCGTGTTGCT